CCAACAGCATCCCTAGATACCTGCTCAGGGCATGTGCTAGTCAACTCGCTGAGGTTTTTACGGACATTTTAAACCTGTCCCTTTCCCAAGCAGCTGTGCCTACATGCCTAAAATCTGCCTGCATTGTGCCAGTACCAAAACACTCCACCCTGAAGTGCCTGAATAACTATCGCCCTGTAGCTCTCACATCCATAGTTATTAAGTGCTTTGAACGACTGGTCCTGGCACACATGAAGGATAGCCTGCCATCTACAGTACATTGGATTCCTACCAATTTGCGTATCATAGCAGTAGGAGCATAGAGAATGCAGTATTTATAGCACTGCACTCTGTGCTCACACATATGGACAATACCAACACATATGCAAGAATACTGTTTGCTGACTTCAGTTCAGCATTTAATATAGTCATACCCTGCATGCTGATGATTTGGGCTTCAGTACCTCCATTTGTAACTGGATACCGGATTTTTTGAGCAGCAGATCTCAGTATGTCAGGTCAGGCCATACCTGCTCCACCACCATCACCCTCAACACTGGAGTACCACAGGGCTGTGTGGTCAGCCTGTTCCTCTACTCCCTCTTCACCCATGACTGCAGACCAGACTATGGCTCCAATTCCATCATCAAGTTTGCAGAGGACACTATGGTGATTGGCCTCATTAGAAACAACGATGAGATAACCTATAGAGAGGAAGTACAACATCTGGTTGCGTGGTGTGCAGACAATAATTTGCTCCTTACTTCCACCAAGTCTAAGGAGCTTATTATGGACTTCGGGAGGGAGAACAGAGGCATGCATGACCTCATTCACATCAATGGGATGGCAGTTGAACGTGTCACCAGTTGTCAGATTCCTGGGGATCCACATTTCAGAAGACCTGTTCTGGACTACCAATACCTTCAGTCTGGTCTAGAAGGCTCATCAGCGATGAGGACATTCTTCTTGAGGACATTGAAGAAGAACCATCTGTCCTCAGCTATCCTGGTGAACTTCTACCGCTGTGCAATAGAGAGCATCCTCACCAGCAGTATTACAGTCTGGTATGGAAATTCCACTGTCGCTGAGCGTAAGGCACTGCAGCAGGTAGTAAAAACTGCCCAATGTATTATAGGGATTCCACCTCCAGTCATTGAGGATGTCTAGAGGAATTGCTGCTTGCGCTGAGCTAGCAGTATTCTCAAGGATTTCTCTCATCCTTTTCACAGACTCTTTAATTTCCTGCCTTCCGGGAGGTGCTTTAGGAGCCTTTGGACTAAAACCACCAGACTTAAGAACAGCTTCTTTTCTACAGCTATTACATTATTGAACTTTGTTCCCTGTTGATCCCTTATTTCCCCATACACTTATCTCTCCTTCCCATTTTCTCCTGTATATACGAATATTGAATTGTATTCATTTTACACACTGACATAAGTTATTTCACTCATTTGTGCAATACGTATTATCCATTAGCTTTACATTTATTGTTAGTAATTATTCATAATCTGTATATTATGTCCATAGTACTTCCATCTACATATTAGTCTATAGTAATTCCACATGTACATTATGTTCATAAATAGTGTCTATCTTGTACATATTGCAGATATCTATCCTGTATATTTTGTACTGCTTATTGCATTTCTGGTTAGATACTAGACTGCAATTCATTGCCTTGTAATTTTGCATGTGTAATAACAATAAAGCTGAATCGAATCTAAACTAAACGGACAAAAATTTCATATGGGTACAGTGCGTGACTGAGTAATTGTAAGTCAAAGTATGACAGCGCTGAAAGCTGAAAATTGGTCTGGGCAGGAAGGGGGTATACGTGCCCAGTAGGCAAGTGGTTAACCGCTTCCCTGCTGCCCTATAGCAGAACTACTGCTACAGGGAGGCAGGGCTGCGCAAAATCACGTACACATACGTGATTTTGCATTTCCGGGTAGGGGGCGCGTGAGCTTCCCTACCCGCACCGCCCTACCCATACCACTAATGGTGGCTACAGCTGTCGATCACAGGGTCCCAGCCAGAGATTGCCTGCGATCGACGAGGAACACTGACAGGGAAGAGGTCTGTATGTAAACCAATACACATCTCTCCCCTGTCAGCACCAGCATGCTGCTTTGTTTTGCTCTACATAGCCATACAAAGCAGCATGCTTACAGAGTAAAACACACACAGCACACAGTTTACCCTTTGATGGCCCCAGATGTTAACCCCTTCCTGCCTAGTGCCATTAGTACAGTGTCAGTGCTTTATATTAGCACTGATCACTGTATAGGTTTCACTGGGGATGTCAGCATCAGTCAGTGTCAGTTAGTGTCAGAATGCCCGCCGTAGTCCCGCTATAAGTTGCTGATCGCCGCCATTACTAGTATAAAAAAAAAAACAACAACATACATACCACCATTTGTAGACGCTATAACTTTCACGTAAACCAATTAATTTACACGTATTGGGATTTTTTTTTTAGCAAAGACACGGAGCAAAATACATTTTGGCCTAAATTTATGACGAAATTAGATTTTTTACATTTTTTTTACTGGATATGTTTTATAGGAAAAAAAATAAAAAATATTGTTTTTTTTTTTCAAAATTGTTGGTCTTTCTTTGCTTATAGCGCAAATAAAAAAAACCGCAGAGTTGATCAAATACCACTGAAAGAAAGCTCTATTTGTGGGAAAAAAGGACGTAAATTTAATTTATGTACAATGTTGCATGACTGCACAATTGTCAGTTAAAGTAACGCAGCATATGGCCTGGTCAGGAGGGGGGGGGGGGGATCCTCTGGAGGGCAAGTGGCTAAATAAATCAGCCTCAATGGATCTGTGTTTTTCCATCTTTAGGTTCCTATACATTACTGTTCAAAGAAATGATCCAAAAACGTAGAGATCACTCCAGATTGGCTATTATATTTTTATATTGCTACTACTACTTAATTACCGCATGCAGTTAATTATTTATTTCCTTTTGTGAATTGACATTAATGCCTCTTTATGCAGTATTTACTGAGCGTTTAAATACTGCAAAACAGCATGGTGAATTGAGAGCTTCAGGATTGCATGCAATAAATGTGTCCCGACACCTAAAAACCGCATACGATCTGTTTAGTGAATAAAGACCACTGTCACATAGTTATTTTACAAGGGAATGATGTGAACATTAAGATCTGATGGTCTCATTATTGAGATTTACTTAAATTGTTAAATCAGAGATGAAGAAATCTCCTTTGAGGTTGTGTTTATATCATCTGGGCATATTAGATATTTCTTTCCACATTTTTGTATATTACTCAGTCCATACAGTATATTGAGAGACATGTAATTTGCCGTATTATTCTCTTGTGCTACAATTTTTGTGTTTGGCCAAAAAGAGAGCACAGTTAAGGGACCTTTCAAAGTCACGTGACCATCTCTCCTTCAATCATGTTCTCTGTGCTGTGTGAAGTAGTACCCCAGAATTTATATCACAACCTACATTTTATGAATGGGTCGTAATATATTATTATTATTATTATACAGGATTTATGGCGCCACCAGTTTGCTCAGCGCTTTACAATATAACGGGAGACAATACAGCAACAATACAGATCAACACAAGAGGGATAGGAGGGCCTGATCCTGGGAGCTTACAATCTAGGAAGTAGGGGCTAATGGTACAAAAGGTAGTAACTGTGAGGGATGGACTGGTTGGAGGAATTGAAGATTCCATTAGCTGAGGGCAGGATAGGCTCTTAGATTGTAAGCTCCCAGGATCAGGCCCTCCTATCCCTCTTATATTGAACTGTATTGTTGCTGTATTATCTCCCTTATATTGTAAAGCGCTGAGCAAACTGTTGGTGCTATATTAATCCTGTATAATAAGAGGGAGGGGCTGGTGGTACGAAAGGTAATAACTGTGGGGGATGGACTGGTAGGAGGAGTAGAAGATTCCATTTTTATTAAATTATTATTAGAGAGAGGTTTTCAGAGATTGTCTAAAATTGAGCAGAGCAGGTGATAGTCTGATAAATTGGGGTAGAGAGTTCCAGAGGATGGGGGAAGCTCTGGAAAAGTCCTGGAGACAAGCATGGGAGGAGGAGACAAGGGAACTAGAGAGCAAGAGGTCTTGCGAGGAATGGAGAGTACGGTTAGGGTGATATTTGGAGACAAGATCGGTGATGTCATTTGGGGCAGAGTTATAAATGGCTTTATATGTTATTGTTAATGTTTTGAATTTTATCCGTTGGGCAATGGGAAGCCAGTGGAGGGATTGGCAGAGAGGGATGGCTGATACAGAACGGTTAGTAAGGTGGATGAGTCTGGCAGCATTCATGATAGACTGAAGAGGGGATAGCCTGCAATGAGGTCGGCCAATGAGGAGGGAGTTGCAATAATCAAGTCGAGATATAACAAGGGAGTAAATAAGTTGCTTAGTGGTTTCCGTAGTTAGGAACGGGCGTATCTTGGAGATGTTGTGGAGGTGAAGTCTACAAGAGTTGGACAGTGATTGGATTTGGGGCTGAAAGGACAGATGGGAGTCTAGGATTACACCTAGTACCCTGGCATGAGGGGAGGGACTGATGATTGTGTTATTGATCTTGATGGAGAAGTCGGGGGAGGGGGCATGGACTGCGGGGAATACTAAGAGCTCAGTTTTGGAAACATTGAGTTTGAGGAAGTGGAGTGACATCTATGCTGATATGTCGCTTAGTAGGCTAGTGATACGAGTGGAGGCTGAAGGGGGGTGAGGTGAGGGGTAGAGAGATAGATTTGTGTGTCATCAGCATAGAGATGGTACTTAAAGCCATGGGAGTTTATCAAGTGACCAAGGGAGGAGGTGTAGATGGAGAAGAGAAGAGGTCCAAGGACAGAACCTTGAGGGACCCCTACAGAAAGAGGGAGTGAAGAGGAGAAGGAGCGCTGCGATAGATAGGAGGAGAACCAGGAGAGAGCAGAGTCTCTGAGACCAAGAGAGTGGCGTTTTTTGAGGAGGAGGGGATGGTCAACCATATCAAAAGCCACAGAGAGGTCAAGTAGTAAGAGTATGGAGTAGTGGCCATTGGTTGGGATGAGTACGGAGTAGTGGCCATTGGTTGGGATTAATATGGAGTAGTGTGTCAAGGTCCTACCTTTTCCCAGAGGTTATGCTGCTCCATGTGCTGGCATCCATCTTGGATTTCTGCAGAGCATGGTGGGAGTCTTTTATGCCTTCAGGCCTCTGCGGTCCATCCCCCAGAGGGGTGTGACTCATCACATATAAGCCTGTTGTCCACACGTGCCCCTTGCATTCGTGTCTTGTGTGTCAGTGTTGCAACAGCTCTGTTTATACTCTCGTGACTCTCCTGGAATCTGACTCGGCTTGTGACTAGACCATTCTCTGCGTTTTCCTTTGATCTGACCTACCGTTGCTAAACCCGGCCTGTGACCTGTGATTCTTGTCTACTGTTCTGTACCGTTTGTCCCGTTTGTTGTCGACCCGGCCTGCCCGACTACGCTATTGTCTGTTCTGATTCCTCCCAGCTACACGCCATTGGCGGCGGCCATTACCGCAGCTGGGGTGTATCGGGGGCCGCGACCTGGTTCCTGGCTGCGTCAAGTCCATCCCCACCATCAGGGGCCCTGTGAAGGGCAGCCTGGGACTTAGACTCCGCGCCCTGAGGGACTCCGATCTGTGGGTGGTGGTTGTCGTCAGTCAGTGCGTTACCCTGCCACTAGGCCTGCCTGTCCATTCCACAGCTCCAGCCCTGACATAGTGGCCATTGGTTGGGATGAGTATGGAGTAGTGGCCATTGGTTGGAATGAGTATGGTGTAGTGGCCATTGGTTGGGATGAGTACGGAGTAGTGGCCATTGGTTGGGATGAGTACGGAGTAGTGGCCATTGGTTGGGATGAGTACGGAGTAGTGGCCATTGGTTTCAGCTGTTAGCAGATCATTAGTGAGTTTTAATATGGCAGTTTCAGTGGAGTGGAGTGAGCGAAAGCCAGACTGTAAAGAATCAAGAAGGTTGTTGTCGGTGAGGTGGGAGCTCAAGAGATTGTAGACTAAGCGTTCTAGGAGTTTAGAGGTAAATGACAGCAGGGAGATGGGTCTTAAGTTATTCAGGTTGGTGGGGTCCAGGGAGGGCTTTTTTAAGTATGGAAGTGATGTGTGCGCATGCTTTAGAGGGGAGGGGAAGGCACCAGTAGAGAGGGAGAGATTGAAGATGTGAGTAAGGGAGCATAGGATGGAAGAAGAGGGTGACCGTAGTAGTTGTGAGGGGACAGGATCCAGGGGGCAGGTAGTGAGACGGAGTTCTGAGAAAACCTTAGTGACCTCTTCGGTAGTAGCAAGGTCAAAAGAGGAAAGTGTTGAGGGAGGTTTAGTATAAGGTATGCTAAGTGGGATGGATGTCTGTGCAGTGGCAATGCCCCTACGAATTGCGTCAATCTTGTTTTTGAAATGATTTGCAATCTCGTTAGCAGTGAGTGAGGTGCGAGGTGGAGGTGGAGAAAGTAGAGAGTTAAAAGTAGAGAAGAGACGACGAGGACTGGATGACAAGGTATTAATAAGAGTGACAAAGTAGGCTTGTTTGGTAGCATGGAGGGAGGAATTGTATGTGAAGAAAGCAAATTTATATACAGTAGGGTGAATGCTTGCTGAGATTTGGTTTTCCACCACAATCGCTCCAGCGCAGGACTATGTCGTTTAAGATTCCTGGTGTGGTCAGTCTGCCAAGGTTGTAATGGTCGGGGCCTGGTGCTTCGTGTTGTTAGAGGAGCAAGCAAGTCTAATGCGGATGAAAGAGAACTGTTGTAGACAGCAGTGGCCAGGTCAGGGCAGGACAGGGGAGAGATTCTGTCATAGAGTTGGTCAGTTGCAGAGTGGAAAGGAGCCGGGTTCAAGTTGTGAAGGTTTCTGCTGGTAATTGTTGGCTGCTTGGAGGGATAGGTGTTTGAAGACGAGGACACTGTGAAGGTGATGAGATTGTGATCAGAGAGAGGAAAGGGGGGTGTTTGTGAGGTTGTAGGGAGTGCAAAGATGGAAGAAAACAAGGTCTAATGTATTCCCATCAGAGTGAGTGGAGGACTGTATACATTGTGCTAATGCAAAAGATGAGGTTATGTTGAAGAGTTGGGATGTAGCCGGGATGTTGACATTAATAGGGATGTTAAAATCTCTGAGAATGATAGTGGGTAGTTCAGAGGAGAGAAAGTAGGGTAGCCAGGCGGAGAAATGCATCAAGAAAGCGGGACACGGGTCCAGAAGGCTGATAGATCACAGCAATCCTCAGAGAAATGGGAGAAAACAGCCGGATGCAGTGAGTCTGGAAAGAAGGGAAGGATAGAGAGGGAGGGTTAGGGAGGACTTGAAAGGTGCTCAGTGGGGATAGAAGCAAAACAACCCCACCACCTTTCCGACCACTGGGTCTGGGTGAGTGGGTCCAGATGAGGTCTCCATAGGAAAGTGCTGTGGGGGAAGCAGAATCTGCTGCTTGGAGCCAGGTTTCTGTAATTGCTAGTGGTTAAGGGAGCGGGAGACAAAAAGGTCAGAGGTGAGCTTATTACAGACGCTCTGTATTCCACAGCGCACTCCACAGCGCACATGAAAAAGGAAGGGTGGTTTTTGGGAGCATGGGGATTGATGTTAAATTGAGGGGATTGCGGCTATTCCCGGAAGAAAGAGGGTGCCTGGTGTGGGGGTGAGATATTGGAGGACCAGGGTTTGGGGAGATATCCCCAAATGTTAGGAGAAAAAAAAGGGTGAGGAAAGTAACATGGGAGCGGGATGTACATGAGCGCACATGCCTTCCAGTCCTGGTGTTTGGGTCAGCAGGAGAGTGAAGTATCAGCAGGAGGTGATGAGAGCAGTAGTAGGGAGATGGTAGCAGTGAGGGTGAGATGTACAAGTTTTGGGGTGGAGCAGAGGGATAAAGAAGTGAGATTTTTGGAACGCAGGAAAGTAATATGAAAAGGAGGAGTAAGAGGGGACATATTAATAGGTACACAGAGTGGGACTCAGACTTTTCAGAGATGTTTCCCAGGATATTTGCTTGCAGTCTGTCCAGCATGCAGTAGAGATTCTTGTTGGTGTATCTTCCTGCTGCTTGAGTTATCCTGCTTTAGTTAAACTGCTGTGTTCAACTGCGTCTTAGCACTCACGCAAAAGCAGCAGCACCCCATCTGTGACTGTACCCCCCATCTGTGAGCCACAGTGTGCAAAGCCACATAGAGTATTATGGGGAGCAGAGAGTGATATCTGCTTTTTGTTATAAATGAGCCCCACTGAATTTTATATGATATAGACTGTACTATATGAGGACAATATAGTATGAGCAATAACCTTCATTCTAACCCCTCGTGTGCTGTTGTTGTTGCTGTACTGTTTCATGTATTGTCCCCCCCCTCTATTGTACAGCGCTGAGGAAACCCTTTGGCGCTATATAAACTCAATGTAATAATAATAATAATAATTCAATGTGACAGCCACACTACTGAAAGAGAAACAAAAAGATAAGGATGTGAAAGTGGAAGAAGAAGAACTGCTGTAACCAAGCTTACATATTGCCTAGACAGGAGGAAAAATAGTTTGTAGTCAGCATCTGCTTCTCATGAAACCTCTTCAACTTTCCACTACTAGGACACTTGTGATGAGCACAGCGACCCTGAATGAATGGTAGGTAGTTTTTTTTTTACTGTTCTGTATAAGTTGATAAAAATTATTACCTTGCTACTTCTAAACTAAGGGGCTCATTTAAAAAGCAGCGTAAAAAAACTACCGTATTTTTCGCTCCATAAGACGCACTTTTTTCCCCAAAAAAAGGGGGGAAAATGTCAGTGCGTCTTATGGAGCGAATATAAAGCGGCCGCTCCGGTATTTCTGCCGCCACCATGTCAGAATACCGGGCCGGCCGCTCAGCTGTTCTCTCCTGCAGGGCCTTACCTGTTCCTCGCTCCAGCGCTGCACAGTCTTCCCGCGCTGGCTTCTGTGACAGCCGGGTGCCCACTGCGCATGCGCTTCGCTTTGTGAATGGTCCGGTGTCTTCTGGGACACATGACAGGTCCCAGAAGGCGCCGGGCCATTCACAAAGCGCAGTGCTTCTCGCACATGCGCAGTGGGCACGCGGCTGTCACAGAAGCCGGCGCGGGAAGAAGAGAGAAGGACAACGCCGCGGAAGTGGGAGCGGGTACCTGTCAAATTCAGGTACCCGCTCCCCCTCCCTCCCCAAAGGTCAGCAGTCTCTGATCATCTCCTTTACTGTCTGCAGTCTCTGGTATCCATTGCACTGTCTGCAGTCTCTGGTTATTCCCTGCACTGTCCGCATTCTCTGGTCATCTGTACTATGTCCGCAGTCTCTGGTCATCTCCTGTACTGTGTCCGCAGTCTCTGGTCATCTGTACTATGTCCGCAGTCTCTGGTCATCTCCTGTACTGTGTCCGCAGTCTCTGGTCATCTCCTGTACTGTGTCCGCAGTCTCTGGTCATCTCCTGTACTGTGTCCGCAGTCTCTGGTCATCTCCTGTACTATGTCCGCAGTCTCTGGTCATCTCCTGTGCTATGTCCGCAGTCTCTGGTCATCTGTACCATGTCCACAGTCTCTGGTCATCCCCTGTACCGTGTCCGCAGTCTCTGGTCATCTCCTGTACTGTGTCCGCAGTCTCTGGTCATCTCCTGTACTGTGTCCGCAGTCTCTGGCCATATCCTGTACCGTGTTCGCAGTCTCTGGTCATCTCCTGTACCGTGTCCGCAGTCTCTGGCCATATCCTGTACTGTGTCCGCAGTCTCTGGTCATCTCCTGTACTGTGTCTGCAGTCTCTGGTTATCTCCTGTACTGTCCGCAGTCTCTGGTCATCTCCTGTACTATGTCCGCAGTCTCTGGTCATCTCCTGTACTGTGTCCGCAGTCTCTGGCCATCTCCTGTACTATATCCGCAGTCTCTGGTCATCCCCTGTACTGTGTCCTCAGTCTCTGGTCATCACCTGTACTATGTCCGCAGTCTTTGGTCATCTCCTGTACTATGTCCGCAGTCTCTGGTCATCTCCTGTACTATGTCCGCAGTCCATTGGTTCAGAATTTTTTTTCCCTGTTTTTTGCCTCTAAAACCTAGGTGCGTCTTATGGTCAGGTGCGTCTTATGGAGCGAAAAATACGGTATATGCTCTGAGCTCCATCAGCTTAGACACTATGAAGTGCAGTAAAAAAAAAAATGGCATCATAACAAACAAAAAACTGCCAATGGTCAATTTTACATGGCTATGTCTGAGGTCTGAGGCTCTCTAGTTTCTCTGCCTTTGGGCTTGTCCTCTTTGATGCAAAACTGTCCTTCTTAGCCAGTTTTTACACCTCGGTAACTAAATGTTTGATAGATAAAAATAGCCCTCAGAATCAGGTTTCTAAAAGTTGGTCAGAGGCAGGACAGTTTGGCACTAGCAAGAACAGGCCTAACATGTTTTCTCCTAACTTTTATTTTTACTGTGACTATAGTAGGGTGTTGTGAATGTAATGGATGTAAGGTGGTTTGGTGCACAATGGTTTTGCATTTTTTTTTATTTAACTGATGCAGCAGCATGCTGTGAACAGGAGGCAGATACAGAAACAGAGGGTCGTCAGTAGGTGAATGCTGTATTTTGAGCACTCCAAATCCTTGAATAAAAAGAACACACAAAAAAAGATTGAGGCAAAATGCAGGTGATTGACCAAGACCTAGTGTTTCAGGATACAGATAGTAGTGATGATAACAGTTGTTGGGTTAGGACAAGTGATGACTTGTAAACATGGCCACAGGAGGCAATGAACATCACCACTGCAATTCACAGAAATAAGGTACAGTTTGATAACTGACCCTAATCTCTCCCCTCGGTGTTTCAGCTCTCCTTATCATCTCCTTTTATAGTGAGATGGCTGGCTTATCCATGTCCTCTCAGTTATTGGCTCTTCTGAGCAAATATTAAAGGGTGTACAGAGCATTGTGGATGACTGTAACATGTGCCTGGGAGAAT